ATCAGCACTCTTGCGCATAGGTAGCGTATCGAGCTAGTTAGAAGTCCAATACCTTCAACTAATAAAAGTTTGTTACACCAAACTTATATGTATGTAGCCGAATACTAGCTCATGCCTGGTAAAATAGCGCTAGAAGTCTAGAGAGATTTCTGCAGTTCTCGAACGCGCCTTAGTACCACTCTGTCTGTTGGATTCGTCATATCCGGCAGTAAAGCAGTAATTGCTAGGCGCTCTGACTTTTCCAGACTCGTGACTATCTGCTTTTCTACATCTTCGTTTTCTTGATCGTCATTCTCCTGATCTTCCGCCTCCCGAATCATGGCTATAATCTCGTCGATTTTCAGCGCCAGATTGATCGACCTCCATCACTGAACTCAAAAGCTTCTTAATAGCCGTGGGATTATCTAGAGGGAGCCTCTGGAAAGCTGATTTCAATGTATTGCTCCTCGATATTAGGCGCCGATATTTGAAGAGACCCTGCAGAGAGACCACTGTGGCGAAAACAATTGGCCACGGTAGCTACTAACTCCTCCCTAGCTGCTTTGCTCCATTTCATTGTGGTTAGCTAATCAATAATATAAATGTTGCTATCACCTTGATCGTCACGATCAACAGCATTTTGAAGATGTTAACGTCTGTAATGTCGCTTGAATGCAGATATTATCCCAGCAACCTTGGACTGGATCTTAGACGTGCAGTTTGGAGGAAGGAAGACCAATTCACCTTGCAATTATCGACTTGTAAAGAAGGATCCTCTTATTTTTGCCCTAGAATAACAGTGATTGAAATGGTTGAGAACACATATGAAGCGATTACATATTGTACCTTCACGTCGTTGGCAAGCCTTTTCAACCACTTCTGAAAGAGTGCACCAATCATCCGTGCTTTCTAATCCCTGCGATATTAGAAGCCCAGTTGATCTTCTGTCTTAAGATTGAAACAGCGAGTCAAATTGGCCTTTCCAATGAACAATGGCTTCTTTGACCCATCTGCGTTGGCAGAAAAGGCAATAGTGATGCAGTTCTATGATGCAGAAGGGAGAATGATCGTTTAGTCAACCTTTTCATTCAAAAGACCATGATCATATGCAAACAAATATACTTTGTCTTGTCTACGCCACTCAATCTGCTATTGTGCAAAGGTCTTTTCTGGAACCATGAATCCTATTAGAACATCACTTGGAGAACTCCTACGAAGAGTACGGTGCTATTATTATTCCAGTCTCATTCATACTGAACAAATCCTCCGACTCATACCGAGCAATGACTGCTACAAGCGCTGGAAGGGCAGCATCGATTACTACCTGATCTGCTGCACATGGATTCTGATGCAACGCAGCTCGTTCCTCTCCTGAAAGCGTTGCATCGCAAGAAATGTTGCAAGACCTCCGTTCACTCGCGCCTCGAATAGTCATGCGAAGAAATTCGTTGCAGAAAGTCGTCATTAGCTTTTTGCGTGTACTCACACCAGTGGCAAGCTTGACAAGCAGCCGCGGCTGCGACATTGAATGCACAATAAAGCTCATGAAGCAGTCCCATTGGAATATTTGCTTGCATCCTCGTGCAAGCCAAGTCGGTCAGCAAAGACTTTTGCTTTGGTTTTGTTGAGATCTTCACTCCTTGTCTGGTATTGAGGCACCCATGTTGCCAAGGCTGCGAGTGATGGCAATGCCGGGCCGTTTGGCCGAATCTGTCATGATCTCGAGCTCGCGACTCTTTTTGAGAATGCTGCGAATAGCAGATTAAGTGAGTTCAATGCCAAACTTCTGAGTAGCCCATGTCACAAGCGCACTTTGACTCATCCACCGATTTTTGGCCTTTTGATTGCACCAAACGTAAATGTAATTTTGCAATGCAATTCAGTGGAAATTCTCAGAAAAAAACATAGATGAGTTTTATCATCTTTGCGCGATGTCAACGCTGTTCAGATTATGTAGCTAATGCTTCTTAGAAAATGACGGAGGCGCTATGGATCTTTCTCTCGATGCCGCGCATATTTGTTTACATGGTAGATAGCAAAATATGCCAAAGTCTTGTGGTGGTGCGAATGTATCTTTCTTGGCTATTTAAGAACATGAAGACAAGAATGTTATTACTAAATAGAGCAGCGTATCATCGAGCGGATCGAAAGCTGACATGATCGGCTCAAGTATTCAAGATAATCTGTTCGGATCGTTCGCCCACAACCAGTTTGTTTGCGATGACATTGGATTAGCAAGAGCATTAGAGGAGTTAGTCTTTCGACATTCCAAAAAGAAACTCTTATATAACTTTTCTTGAGCGGCGAAACATGCCTCTGTCCAAACTCTGGAGGGAAGAAAATATAAGCAAAGACCTCATGTATTATTTGGCTCAGTTTGAGCGAAGGATAGCCAAATAAATGTACGAAATTGACTAGAGGACCAAATAATGTATTCAGTATGGTATTGTAAACGTAACTAAAAGCACATTGAGTCAACTAGCATATCTGTGTTTTATGTCTGTACTTATAAGAAAAAATCGTCTTCTTCCTGGACCACAACTTTTGTATCACTCGTCTCTGATAAATTGAGCACATCGTCGTCATCATCTTGGTCAACTAGCACTGGTGTATGTTTCGATTTGTCTCCCAACTTGTCACGTTTATTGCGCATTTTTTTCTGCTTCTTTACCTGCTCTTTTGTAGGTTTTTTTAGCAGCAGCTCAATAGCCGACCTCGTTCCGGACGAAGAGCGTAATTCCTTGGATTTACCACCATTTAAACAAAATTGGTTGAACGCGTCAACCGGCTGTTCTCTAGCAAAACGAGAAACGGCCTCGGCGCGAAGTTCGTTCTGACGGTTTTGGTTCGCCATTGAGTGAGGCGCAGACGGGAACAATGACAGATATGGCTCAGATTTCGGATAGTAGTAGATATACATCATCTCTTCTTGATACGCCTTAAATTTCTTTTCGTACTCGACACGTTCGGCGTCATCACTTGCCTGCAAATCAAGCGATGGATAACAATTTGTGAATAGAACTGATCGATACTGCAGCAATAACTTTTTTGGGACTCTTGACCTGCTCAATGCCATGTTTCGCCTGTCGCAACTTGCGCATGACCTTCACGCGCTCAAAGAAACGTGACTTATACACAATCAAAACTCATGTTCTGCATCAGAAAATCTTTTGCAACTGTAAGAGCGGCAATGACTGCTCTGCCCACTTACTTTTTTATATTTTTCAGCATTTTTCTTTTCCACAGCAAGTTTATCTTTAATCGCTTGCTACGTGCACAATATTACTCATTTGTATCACCCATCAAATGTATGATCGCAGCATTTAAAGCATTTACCTCTTCACGAAGCTGTTCCAGCTCAGCCTTCTTCTCTCTCCTAGTTGCATCATTAAGGCCCTATATGTCATATGTCAGTCAAAGTATGCAATTGTTTTGTATAGATCAGCGCTATTGAAACAGCGTACCCCACGACTTAGAAAGCGCTCTATGCCTCGAATGCGATTCTTGAGCGACGGAAGTTTTTTGGCCTGCTGGGGCTTCTTAGAGCGTGCATTTTTATAACGAAGACGGGTACCTTAAAGAGTAAATTTAATGAGTGATATCAGTGTGATTGACATAGACAACCTAGAACACATGCGGTAAGTCTTACCGGCCGTCGGAGCCATCGCGCAATGCTAAGTTGTTGGCTGCGACTTAGTTTTGAAATTTTGGGTTTTTGAAATATAGTGCAAAAAATCCACCTATTATATCGGGGTTAATTATTAGCTCACATACTTTGAAAGGACCGATATTCGATGCCGCTTTTAACATTAGATTCTTTTTGGCGGTGCTCCATGCTTCACACCTTGATCACCGCTGAACATAAGGACCTTTCAGATCGAGCAGCCTTCCCTTAAGCGTATCTTAAATTCAAATTTGATCGAGTGTTTTTTTATTTCTCACTGTCATCACGCACCTTTCTCTATTGCGTCAAATGGTGATATGTTGGGTAGAAACTCGTTACAAACCGAGTCACGTGATACTCTCGTCCTAGTGTACGAGAAATTAGCGATCACGTGAAGCAATATTCAATATATCTGAAATACATTAAGTGCTCATGCGTTAGACCCAACTTTAAATATGGAAGACTGATCTGATACTTTAGCACTACGATACATTACGCAAAGTAACAGTCGACTATTGAGAAGACCTCGATACATTAGGCACTCAAGCCTAATCTGCCTACTTGAAACGCCCAGAATAACGCACGAGGATCAATATTTTATTATTCACTCTGACGATCTACGAGGACAAGACTAGTTTAATGCTAAATCAAGATTGATGGACCGGACGGTGCTCCTACATGTTGTTTCTCTGTATCAGTGAGTATTCCAGCTTCTGCCTGCGACGCAGCAGCTAAGGCATTCATGTTTGTAAAGCTAAAAGATTTGAAGGCATCAGCGAGATTTGACTCATCGGGGCTACCATACATGCCACTAGGAAACCGAAAGTGGCTGTTATTGTCTTCCATATTTAAAGCTCCATCGCCTATGGACTTTTCACGACAGTTGCCCAATCCACCATGAACATCCAAAGTCTCTGGAATGCCCCACGTTGAGTCAGCAGCTGCAGTTTTGCTTAAAGCATTATTTTCGAAGTCGTGATTGTCAGTATCGTTGCCGTCAATCATTCTGTAATTTTGTTGATCACTTTCAGTACCAAAGTCAAGATTATCCACGCAATTACTTGCAGAGGGGGAAGCATCGTCAAAGTCGTCATCGTCGATAAAAATGTCTGTAAGGTTGCGATTATTAAAGTAGCTCGTATCATTTGGTCCCTCGAGCGTCGGTACGAATGGAGGTACAGATTCCAAAATTGTGTCCCAATTAATCCCATTGAAAAAGGGATGAAGCTTGATTCCATCCCAGCTCATACGAGTTGCTGGATCCGGATCAAGCAGCTTATCTATCAAATCCATCGCTTCGGCCGAAAGGCACTTTTCTCCATCCGGCCACAAAATTTGCCGCTCAATTATGTTATTGAAAATTGCATCCACAGTGTCATCATTAAAAGGAGGAAACCCCACCAGCATTTCGTATAAAATAATACCCAGAGCCCAATAATCCACAGGTGGTCCATGAGGAACGCCGAGGATAATTTCGGGCGCTAAATAGTCTGGCGTCCCACATCGTCCATACGTGTGGTACGCGGATTTTTTCTTCTTAGATGATATTGTACGCTGCGGGCGATCGTATTCAAGCGCTACGAGTGTCTCATCTACTGAAGCAATTTTAACATTATCAGCATCTGAGACCATGTAGTCATCGTCAGGTTCAGAATCTGTATCACTGATCGCCACAGCTTCTTCAGATAAGCCAAAGTCGGTAAGCTAACGAGAGTAAACGTTAGCACAATGAAGCCAACAATGAATAATGAATTCAGCAAACCTTGATATGGCCGGAGGAAGAGAGCAGAATGTTGTCGGGTTTTAGGTCCCTATGTGTATGAGCGCCACGCAATAGCAGCAAGAAGAGTGAGTCAAAGAAAAGAAAATAAGCAAAGCGCAGTCTCAAACCTGTGAACACATCCTTTGGAATGCAAGTGGTTAAGTGCAATTGCAATTTCAGCAATGTAGACGCACGCCACCTACCCAGATGTTCGCAACGATATCAAACAAAAATCGAAAAGGTATTGGCTGGATCATCTCTACCTGTTCTTCGAGTTGAACAATACACTCTAATAAGGACATAAAATCACCTCCTGGAAGATACTCCATTACCAAAAAGAGGTTTCGCCTGGTAAGAACATTACAATTCGCATAAGTAGCTCATACATTAGCCAAATTAAAAAGTGTTTATATCAAATGTGAGCTCTTACTTGTTTTGAAACGTCCAAAACAACTTGACAACGAAAGGGCTCACTACACTAGCCAAAATATTTCTTTCCGTCTCAATTTGCTGAATCTGTAGACACCAAAAGCATTTTCTGAGTCCAACTGCGCGAATATAGTCAGCAGATGCAAATAAGCTGTGTTACCTGCTTTTTTCGTAGTAAGTGCTGTTTCGCAAGCACTTTGATTGCATATTGATCACCTGTTGTCTTTTTTCGTGCTAAATACACTTTGCCGAAAGCCCCCTTTGAAATTGGTTTAACAATATGAAAGTCGCGAATCGAAACACGACATGAGGCCGATTTGAAGCTCGACCGTCGAGACCCGCGCAATTCGTCGCTGTTATCAATATTTTCAAGTGATTTTGTGCGCTTCAACGGTGTCCGTACCTCCTCGATTGGAGCTTGTTGGAACATCACTTTGTGGGATGCTCGCACTTTGCTCATTTTAGCATGGATCAAATCACGCAATTTTGTGCAGTAGCTGGCTACATGTCCTCCATACTCACCAGCATAAGTTGACAGTTCAATGTCCTGCTGTCGTAATCGATCAACAATTTTTACTAACCGCGCACAGAGTGCAAAGGCGTCCACACTCGTGACATCACATGTTGATGCTTGGATTGCCACCACACGAAGTGTGTGGTAAAGATGCAGTTCTTGCTCCATTATGATCGTTGTCGCCTCTTCAGCGAGCATGGCATTAATCGACGCTGTGAGTTTCATCAATGAATTATTAATCCCATCCGCTTCAAGTTCCACCCTTTTCGAAAGCACACAATAATTTGCATGTTCCTCCAATGAACTGGCTTCCACACTCATTTCACAGAGTTTACACACAATCACCGACTTACGGGCTCGTCGAAACGTCAAAGTCATGGGTCGTCGACTGAATTGAAGCATATCTAACACGTCTTCAGGCGTCGTTGTGCTCACGCTTCGTCCATTCACTGCATCGATCCATAACCCCTTCGTGATTGAGACATCAGGCGAAAGATTCAAAGCCACCATTGTCCACTTCTCCAGATGAACATTTTTGACCACAACTTTGTTCTTTCGAGCATCAAGAACAAATTCCAGACCAAGAAATCCTTCTCCGAATGTCACGTCAAAAGTATCACAATTTTGAACCTTCTCAACCAAACCTTCACTATCGTTTCCACCATCATTATCAGTCCAAGCTTCCTGATTCTCATCACTCGAGGTAGCGCGACGCCATTTGACCTGATTTTTCTCCCACCGACTTAATACATCATTTAATACGTCTGAAGTAGCATCAAGGATTCCAGAATGTGAGAATCGATCTCCATCCGCACTATACGGTGGAACAGTTAGCGTATACTGACGTTGTAGACGCTGCGGCTTAATCTCAAGCTGCAATTCATCGTGAAGACGCTCTAATTCGCTACTGCTAGTGCTGCTAGCACTCGGACGACGTTTGCCACCGTCTGAGGGAAGGTCCAGGTCAGCCACACGAGCCAATGCAAGCTGTTGCGGCCGCCCCGCCATGAGGAAATACTGAAGTGGTAGCAAGAGGTCGAGGCGTCGGTGAAACGCACAACTTCGGCGTCTCTTCCTGATACGATTTTTGTTTCGGAAAATAGGATTTTGTAGAAAAAAAAGAGTTCATGGGGCGGTTGGACGAGAAATGTGCGTCGCTCCGCACACTCTTGTGCGTTTCATTTGAAAAACGCTGCTGAATGGAGAGTGCCATTGTGAAACGCTCCATTGGTTCTGGATAACGTTTAGAACGAGGTAGCTATGACTCCATTATTTTTGATTCAAGACGAGATAAATGAAAAGATAACTGTTCGATAACGATATGATTTCTTTATAGTATTTTGATATACGGTATGCACTGACGCAATGACCGGATGTGGAGATATATTGAGCATGTAAGTAAGAGCATACAATATTATGTTTGTAAGTCAGCTAAAAAACAATCCAAGCTTATGCCGTTCATTAAACAAGGGTGCAGACGTCGAAATTCAGAGTTTCGCTGGGTCCGTCAGCTAAAAGAATTTCAACATATAGTGTGCTTGCTAGACAGTTGTGTTGCGAAGCTGAAGCGTCGTAAACATTTAAGAAATGATTTCGCTGAAAATGACTTTGTGGTCACAAGGTTTCCAAGAGATTTATAGTGTCATGACGCTCAAAATGGAATCGTGAGTAACACGTCAATCCGACAATTGAGCTTCATTTATAGCCTGCAAATGACCACACAAAACATAACATTTGTGGGGCTAACTACCTCGCAATCCAGATAAGCTCGACTTTGCGAATCGTTTTCCAAAGGCGATGAAACACATCATGTTAGCATAAGCAATTTGAAGCTTGTGCTGAGGGCCAGGTTCGATTTTATATTAGATTTCGTATTTAATTCAAAGACCGTTGTTTCGTTGGAGACAATAAAAACACTGGGTCTGCATCATCCACGAGACTTTATCTACATAGTGCGAGCGTTCAGCTTTATTATGACTATGTTTATTGCTGCATTATATATGGCGGTTCTGGATCATAAATCTCACTTTATTTTAACATTTAGTATTGGTAACCGGCCCTCGAAAACTCCCGAAAGCTGCACGCGAAACTATCGCACCAAAATTCACATATCAAATTGCAGTTTCACCTATTTTTATTACATGGACCCAATTTCCGAAGGTTAAGCGGGGAATGCGTTGTCTCAGCCGCAAGCTTCATCATGTCGTGACAATTCATGACCAGTGTTATCGTAATCACTGATGCATATAATGACGTCCACTGTACACTCAATAGTAAGCATGACATAAGAGTTGGATGTTGTTTTGAATGATCAAAATTCCGACCATTGTGAGATTATTAGCTATCGTTGGCAAGAAACACTGACATTTGTCAAGGCATCAATATGGACGGATGTAAAAATGTTTTACAACAATCTGCTAGTCATGAATAAGGTTGAGATGATGCTATTGCATGCAATAAATCTTTCAATTCATCATTTTATCTCATCGAAACACTCGGTTGCACGGTCGAATCATGGAGCGTCTAAGGTGGGCCGGACACTCGGTTCATGAAAGCTTATCTCATTTTTGGATGAAAAAGAAGTGTCAAATACAATTTTTCCGAGGATTTCAAAGGTGACTAACAGTTTTGGGTACAAATGGCTGTTCCTAGTGTTTGGCTTCAAGGACGAAGTCTGATTTTCACCCTATCGACTACAACAGCAATTTAACGCAGTCTGAATACTCATATCGGTGCGATGTATCATAAGTATCGATGTGACCTCGAATTCTAAATTTAAAGATTTCAACACCACACCGAATGCTATAACTTTTAAGGAAGATAGTTGGCTATACTATGTTAGCTAGCTATACATTAAAAGCCAGCAAAGACATTACCCTACATCTTACGTGGAACACGCTAGAGATCAAAGACTTATTTCCGTCGGGGCCAAAACGTAGGGCTTGTGCATGGTGGCTCTACAATTAAGTTAAGAGTTCAAATCCCTGCGCAGACTATTGCGCTATCACGCTGTGAACCTCACATTCCCTTTTTCCTACCAGCTTCCGATGCTAGGTTAAGTCTGCTGTGATGCTTAATAAGGCATGAATTATTTGTCAAACTTATTCTAAATTGATGTACTTCGATAAGTATAGAGCAACTAGTACCAAGTTCATGATAAGCTCTCGGTCCCGCTTCTGAATAGAGCGGACAGAGCAGTTTGGTGTAATTTAAATAAAGCGGACTCGTAGAGTCAAATATTCTCCGTGTGGGGTGCACAGCAGCTCTGTTGCATATAATAGCACTTGTCGTCAGTTCTACGAGGGGCATGAATAAGGTTTTATTCTTGGTAACGATGGAGTGCAAGCTTGTCAGGTATCTGCCCTTCAAGCAATAATTATTATGAATAAGCTCATGTTGGAAGTAAACTTGGATCAGATAGCACATTTGGTGGCCCAAGGAGTAGAGGCTGCAATCTGACGCCTAGAAGCACTTAGCACCAATAAGAATTCACTTGTGAGATCTCCCGTACACCTCATAGAGACGTCCGTAGGAGTAAAACTCGGGTTATACCAACAGTTTACTTGTGCTGTGTGTTTAGCTCTTCAAAGGCAGGGGGGAAATTTACTCATAAGAGCCGTGAAGATAAAGATGAATACGGCCATGCACCGACGAAAGCTTCAGCGTGTCAATCTTGCTGACATAGGCTAGAAGGCCGCGCGCGAGAATAGACACTCTGCGCAATATCTTTGTTGGAGAGTTATTCAAATTATGGGAGTAGTGGTCGCTCTTGTTCGCAGTGCCTTATTTGAAATATCATATGCGATCAAGATCGTGGCCACCGCTAAGCAAAACGACATTGTGGACAGATCTATGATATCTGTAACCCAATGGCTTCAGAACATCGCTACCATTTTTCAAGTAGATGTAAGACAGGTGAGACCTACACATATACTTTTGCCACTACCTTACAGCTGTTGAGGAAGCGATGAATGTCGCACTAATTCTGAAACAGAAAATTTGCACTGCAAGGTCCGTTAAGAGTGCAAGAGGCGATAGCTTTACGTGCGCGTCAAAATGGTAGATTTGACTGATGCTGAGCATGCCAAGGCCTTATGTAGAAAAAAATACATAAAATTGTAGTAGATAACAAACACTCCACTATACACGCTTAATCTACCTATACATGCAGTGCCTGTAACCTATATGTGCAGCAGGGCCACCGTAGCTCTTTATCATAGAGGGAGCTTGGTTTAGGGACCTTTGTTCTATATTTAGAACCAGGACGAGTGCAACGGATAGCAAGCCACTTATTCTAAGAGTTATGCCAACCTTGGCATAGACTAATCTCTTCTTCCATTTAAAACAGTAACTGTATTTCTTGGTTCTATTTGCTGCAAATCCACTTAAGCTTAAATTTATAGGCTTTCCTATATAGATAGGAAAAACTTATTAAATGTATAGCTGCTGGCTGTTCCAGGAACCTACTGACTTCTTGTTTGAGTGTAGCCTCACTATTGTGTGATCACACCATCTTTTGTCACCCAGTATCGTCATACCAGGGCATGTGAGACCCCGTTACATTCTTCCCCACCAAGATTGTGAACGCCTACAGTTGTCGCCTTGAGCGAGGCTCGCATGTCTAAGACACCTTAACATCATCAGGACCTTCTTCACGAATTCTCTGGTCAATGAGCCCTGTGTCAGGGACACGGAAGACATCCAGTTTCGAGAACGCCCGCGAGCAGAGCCCTTCTTCGTCTACTGCACGCGGTGAACTCCGGACGAAACGTCGGAGGCTTCAAAAAAACTGCAACCCAAGCTCTCGGCAACCGAGTACCGCGCAGCGCATTATGAGCGACAGGGTCGCATGAACAATAATACAGACACGATGTCGACTCCCGATCGCGCACCGCGCCCGTAACGGGTGATGGATTCAGTCGTCGAGGATTCAGAGAACACCGACTACGAGTCGGATACTTCTTTCCTTTGATAGGAAGAAGAAGGGGGCGAGGTGCTCAGCGGCGCGACGTGAACCATGCTCGAGCTTTGCGGATGCCGTCTCTGTTTCCCGAACTCTCGACTCTCGGGAGAGCTGTTGTCTTTAGCGATCGCCACGACGAGGCACAGAAGCAGCGGCTCGAAGCTATTCGCAGGGCGACTTCTCGGAGTGCTCGCCGCTGTCAGCGGAATGTCACTCGTTCTCACGAGCAATTGGTAATATACATCGACCATGTCGAGAGCACTGTACGTCGTACATCCCACCATATTGGTCTGAAAAACATCCTCTCTAGGAATCGGCGTCTGTGCCAGATTAATGGCAGCGTTGAGCTCGTTGTAAGCATGAATGACTCGGCTTTCGAACACAAATCGTGGGTGTCGAATGGGGAGACCTGCTCTCACGTACCATTTCTGCGTCGTGCTTCGCACGGAAAATGGCGTTAATGACTTCTCATTGCTTCTTGGGCTGGGGCTATTGACGTGTTACGCAGTATATGGTTCCCCAAACCAGGTCGATCTCATGACGCACACCTCGGTTCGGAGGTAGAATTGACGGTGGGTCTTTGGAGACGACGTCTTGAAATTCATTTTCCAAAGGATTGTACGGATCCAAGGGATTCCATAGGATCGACGATCCACTACGTGCACACAGCACTCTCTTGGTGTCTTCCACTACAGCTTCACCCAGAAGCGATGGCGAGTTTATCTCTTCGTTCGGTCGTACAATGACCGCTTCGGCCAAATTGTCTGCCTTCAAGGCACTTCTCGTCCAGCTCAAGAAGAGCGTCTACTGCAGGAATAGCCTCGAGACGAACGTCGCCATCTTCCTCCCCCGTCATACCGCTGACGAGGGTGTATAAATGTGCACCATCGTCTACGGTAGACACACCCTGGATCAGGGTCGACGCCTGGCGTCTTGCA